AATCACAAAATTGAATTCGTGGCTTTTACCTTTCATTGTTGAAACATGGTTAGAACTGTGTAAAAAAAAACATATTCTAAATCAATTTATAATATTAATGCTCTGTAAATTTACATTGAGCACTATTTTATAAAATAAAAATGTATATAAGAACACCGGATTATATATCTTTCTTTGTTTTATTTTCTTTTATATATATATATATATATATATATATATATATATATATATATATATATATATATATATATATATATATAAAATATATATATATATTATATTAATTAAACATAAATATTTCGTTAAACATATTCCGCTGAAGGTTTACTTAAATACATTGTATTTATAAAAATAACGTATAAACAGAAAATATATTAAACAATCGTCGGACATTGCTAAACATACTTTTCTTTTTCAACAGCAGACCAAATAAAATGAGGGATCCCATTAGCGCTACAGGTTCGTTTTCTAAAATGCCTCGTATATTCAAGCCGTTAAAAGTAATTAATGCTGTTTTACTGAGTATTTACTTAAATGAATTAAATCTTTAAAATAATGTATAAACTGAAAATATATTAAATTAATGTAAAACGATAAATAACTTTTTACAGACCAGAACAATTTTAGGAAAATCTATGACAAAGTTGAAAGACATTTTCATGCGACGCGTTTCCTTCTTCAGGATTTCATCGGACTAAAGTAACGATACATACGCATGAAAAAAACTTGCATTTACAATTTCAGCATCGCTTGTATATTATTACGTTATTATTGCATACACGTAATAATATCAACCAACAACAAATAAAATAATAATAAAAAATCACAAAAATATTAGCAAACAAAACTTTAAAATAGCCACATAATTGCATCCGGATCCACAATTATTTCCACTTAATCGCCCCTAGAATAATTAGAAACATAAGCGTTACCGTCTACCTAAATAATCGTTTGAATAATAACATAGAATAATCCACAATGCACTACTGACTATACATATATATATATTTCTTTCTTTCTTTCTTTTTTTTAGAGACATGTTATTTTAAGCAAAGAATGTTAAATAGGTAAAAAGTTGAATATTATATCACAGAACAATGCAAAAAAAATGTAACCATTGGCAAGACAAGAACAAGAAATATATCTGGCTTTAAGTATGTGACAAATGAGATTTAGAAAAATCAAACGTGTAAAAACGAAGAAAGATGGTTCATCAGGAAGACAATATTGGAAGAAACTTGTATTTGGAATATAAACAGAACAAAAATGTACTAAATATTAAGAACTTTAGGCTAACTACATAAAAACAACCAAACTGCCGTCTTTAAGTAATCACCCATCGCCCCAACAAAAATGAAAGAAAAAACGAAGAGAAACGGGTATGTTTGCCGATGACATCCATTATACCAAAGTTCACTTACAAAGCTTGAATGGTATTGCTGTTAAATTGATTATGATGAGATGTTTCATACGAAGGAATTTGGAGGTAGTATGTAACATGTTGATTTATGTTGAATAATTCCAAGCTGGTTTAAAAGTGTCCGTATTGAGCACTGTTCGGTGAGTTGTAGCGTCAGACGTCTTGATAGGCGGGCGCTTGTATATGTAACATAATTATTTATGGGTATCTTTGCGTCAGGAACGCAGTTTCCTTTGGAACTAATGAGTTCATAGATAATGTTGTTCTGGTATAGCTTTGATTTTACCGGCGAGATATTACGTCTAATAATAATTACCTCTCCCACTTTCTCTCTTTTTCTCTCTCTCACTTTCTCTATGTATATATATATATATATATATATATATATATATATATATATATATATATAATTTACATACAAAGAAATAATCACACATAGAATCAATCAGAAGTATTAATGCGATTATTGGCGACATCCATCACTATAAACATAATATATGCATTAAAATACTGTTAATCCATAGTGCGAAGTGATCCTCGTCGATAAACTTGATTTCTGTAGTTTTCAGTTTATTTGATGTTAAAATGCTAGTACTTACGAATAGTCCTCATCGGGCATGTGTTTTTTCCTTATTAAATCAAAAACTTGGAGACGAATTACTTGTATGTCGACCGAAAGAAGTTTTTTTGAATATCTGCTATTATTGACGGTTGTTTAAGATCTCGGAACGTGCAAAAATTTTCAAAATTTTATATATATATATCTTTTATTCTATCTATCTGTCTATCTATCGCCCTCTCTCAACACACACACACACACAAACACATATACATTTATTTTTTTAATTCTATCTGGCTGTCTATCTCTTTCTCGTTTCCCTCTCTTTCTGATTCTCTCATCGTGCTAAAGCAAACATAGCTGCATGTACCTCATCGGGCGTATGAACATGCATCTATGTTTGAGTTAGCACGATGCCATCACGACGACGATTCCCCCCCCACTCTCATAATAACACCAATACACGCAATCTACAGAAACCCAAATTTTCTAAAAAATTAATCAGTTTGCCTGACGATCGCAAAAGCGTGAAACCCAGGGTCACAAACTCACATCAATCCAAACAAATATGTTAGCTCTATCTCTGATATTGAGCGCTTTCTAATAAGTACCGCGCATATAATGATATATATATATATATATATATATATATATATATATATATATATATATATACATATATACACACACACACACACACACACACACACACACACACACATATATATATATATATATATATATATATATATATATATATATGAGTACGTGTTTGATTATTTGTCGATCACATGTCATATGTTTCGTTTTCTTCAGGGATATTTCGGTTATACAAAACAGTGCGAATAAATTATTAACATTCGGATTAACGATCTGATAAAGCTACTTTCTTATTAAATATGTCTTTAATATGATTCTTTAGCGAATAAAGATTTCTCTAACACTCAGGCCGGAAGACGAAAAATGATGTACTGCTTACTAAGCAAACGAAGTCTCTACTCAAATATGAGTATCCATAAAAATAACGTTTAAAATGATAAAATGTCGGATAAATAAATAAAAAATACATTCTTAAATTCTCTCTGTTTACGATTGAAGATGAAACTATACAGATATGAATCATAATCGGGAGATTTATGATGAGAGTAATTTCGCTTATCGTTGCAAATTTGGCTTTTATCTAACGGATTATCCTTCGTAGATAAGTTGGTTAAGGCGTCTGGGGTCTAACAGTAGCTCCATCTATCCTTTTTTTTTAAACCTTTGAGCCCAACGTTCCTGGATAATTTTTACCCTTTTGCCCCAGCTCCTGAGTCAAAATTAGCAAATAATTAATATATAATGTTTCACGTTAGATATAAAAATAGTTACAAGTGTTTATCCACCGTTCAATTGGTAGCTGGACATTAAGTCATTTTTTGCTCGACCACTGTTCAACCGGTGGCTGGGCATTACGTCATTTTTCATGGTCATGGATCAAAGGGTTAATACGATTTCTCGAATATTCAAACCGGTAGACGAAAATAAATATGCTGTTTAATAAAGAAAATTAGCGTTTACTCAAATGTGTTTCTACACTAAAAATAAGGTTTAAAGTGATAAAACACCGGATAAATAAAAAAATCCATTTTAAAATTCTCTCTGTTTACGCTTGAAGATTAAACTGAATTATACTGAAATCAAACTTAATCGGGAGATTTATGATGAGAGTAATTTCGCTGATAGGCACAAATTTGGCTTTTGTATGACGGACTGTTCTTCGCAGAGATGTTGGTTAGGGCGTGTGGAGTCATAACAGCAGCTCCATCTGTCATTTTCTTTAAACATTTGAGACTTGCATTCCTGAACAATTTTAACCCTTCTTCCTTGAGGTCATGCGTCAAAATTCGCAATTAATTGGTATTTAATGTTTCACGTTAGATATAAAAAGTAGTTACAAATGTTTACCCAACGTTCAACCGGTGGCTGAACATTGTCATTTTTCTCAACCACAGTTCAACCGGTGGCTGGATATTACGTCATTTTTGTTTACCACCGGTAAATCGGTAGTCATGGATCAAAGGGTTAATACGATTTCTCGAATATTCAAACCGGTAGACGAAAATAAATATGCTGTTTAATAAAGAAAATTAGCGTTTACTCAAATATGTTTCTACACTAGAAATAAGGTTTAAAGTGATAAAATACCGGATAAATTTTTTAAAAAATCCATTTTAAAATTCTCTCTGTTTCCGCTTGAAGATGAAGCTATAGAGATATGAAACATAATCGGGAGATTTATGATGAGCGTAATTTCGCTTATCGGCACAAATTTGGCTTTTGTCTAACGGACTATTCTTCTGCTCTTTTCTGTCATAAGATTTATGCACCATTCAGGTCGGTAGATGAAAATAAATAAATATAGCGTTCAATAAAGAAACAGAATGTCTATTCAAATACGGGCATCCTCTACAAATAAGTTTTAAACTGATAAAAATGTATCGGTGAAATATAAAATCATTTCGAAAATCCCGGTTCGAAAGACAAATCAGAAAAAAAGGGAAAATTGTGTCTTTGGCTAGATGCGAAAGTGTTTGGCCGAATCTTCTTGCGAGATAAATTGTCTGAACTTGGAATTGTTTTCGACGTTTCTTTCTCCTGTTGTTCTTAATTTTATTGAAAGCATGCCTCCCAAGCCCACTATTTGGTGAGGGCGGAAGGTTGGCCGTTGATCCCCCACCCACCAGGTCGATGCTTGGACTTAAGGTAAGGCGTACATTCACTTGTTATCATGAGGAAGAAAGCGGACAAACACTTGCTGCCCTGCGTGAGTATAATTTCGCTCTACCGATAACTCATTTTAATTTTTCTCTATTTTTTTATATTCTTTATTTTTTAATCTTTAAATTTTATTTTATTTTTATATTTTTTCTCCCCTACTCGTCAGTGTGTTTGACCATAGTAACACATTTTTGTCCGAATCATTCTAACCTAATTCAAGTATATAATTTTCGGTATGAATGTTTACATTTAGAAGTGTTCATGTTTGTCCATATAGGTATCAATCGATATATGTAAATAGATAAATAATTCTGTCTCATTCCATTGACGAATTTCTCGGTACCAGTCTGTCCAAATCGTTTCATCCTTACTAACCATAACTTGATACTGTCGTATTGAACTCTTTACTCTCCACTTTCAACCTTACTCTCTATATTCGTCTTTATTCTCCACATAGCTCCTTACTCTCCATATTTCTTCTTGTTCTCGACATTCCTTCAACACTTCATATTCGTACTTACCATCCACATCTATCCTTATTCTTCACATAGCTCCTTACACTTTATATTACTCCTTACTCTCCATTTTTCTCCTTATTCCACACATTTATATTTAATCTCTAAATTCACACTTACTCACCACATTCGTACTCTCCATATACACACTTACTCTATACAATTTCCTTACATCCAGATTCATCCTTGCTCTCGTCATCCTTCCTTAATCTTCATACTCGTACTTATTGTCCAGGTTCCTCCTTACTCTCCACATTCCTCCTTACTCTCCACATTTATACTTACTCTCCACATTTATACTTACTCTTTATATTCGCACTTACTCTCCACATTCATACTCTCCATATACACACTTACTCTCCACGTTTTCCTTACACCCACTTTCATCCTTGCTCTCGTCATCCTTCCTTAACCTTCATACTTACTCTCCATATTCCTCCTTTCCTTACTCTCCACATTATCCTTATTTTCCACCTTTCTCGTTATTCTCCATATTTATCCTTACTCTGAACATTTCTTCTTACCCTCGCCATTTTTAATTTCCAAATTTCTCCTTAATGAACATATTCAGCCTATATTCGACATTCATTCTTACTCTGTATATTCACAGTTACTGTAGGAATTACTCCTTAACCTTCACATTCGTTCTTGCACTCCACATTGCTCCTTACTCTCTACATTCCTCTTTATTCTCAACATTCATCCTTACTCTCCACATTCATCCTTACTCTCCACATTTATCCTTACTCTCCAGATTCCTCTTTATTCTCCGCATTCATCCTTACTCTCCACATTTCTCCTTCACATTTCGTTAATCTTGATTCACTTTATTCCCAACATTCATCCTTACTCTCAAATTTATCCTTACTCACTAAATTTCTCCTTACTCAACATTTCATCCCAAATTACTCTTTATTCCAACATTCATCCTTACTCTCCACATTTATCCTTACTCTCCACATTTCTCCTTGCTCTCCACATTTCTCCTTAATCTCCAGATTCCTCTTTATTCCCAACATTCATCCTTACTCTCCAAATTTATCCTTACTCACTAAATTTCTCCTTACTCTCCACATTTCTCCTTAATCTCCAGATTACTCTTTATTCTCAACATTCATCCTTACTCTCCACATTTATCCTTACTCACTAAATTTCTCCTTACTCTGCACATTTCTCCTTAATCTCCAGATTCCTCTTTATTCTCAACATTCATCCTTACTCTCCACATTTATCCTTACTCACTAAATTTCTACTTACTCTTCAGATTCATCTTTATTCTCAACATTCATCGTTACTCTCCACAATTCTCCTTACTCTCCAAGTTCCCCTAAGTCTCCATATTATCCACATTCATCTTTACAACATTCTTTCGTACTATCTATACTCATCCTTACTCTCCACATTTCTTAATACTCTCCTCATTCACTGTTAGCGTTCACATTAAGGTTTACTTTCGAATTTCTTCTTAATCTTTATATTTGTACTTACTCTCCATATTTATCTTGACACTACACATTCTTTCTTATTCTCCACACTTCTCTTTGCTCTGTACAGTTCTTTTTCATGCCCACATGCATATTTATTCTCTGCATTAGCCCCTTTCTCTCCATATTTAGGCTTAGATTTCACATTTCTCCTAATCCGTCCTCAGTTTTCACATTCTTCCTTATTTTCCACCCTCACCCTTATTCTTAATAATCCTTTTCTTTAAAATCACCCGAACTCCTGACATTCACCTTTAGTCCCTAGGGTTTACGGCTATATCACATTGAAACAGCGGTTAACGTACGATCACCGGAGTTAAGCGATCCCTTAAAAATACCAGGTGCTATATGCTTGGAAATGCATATGGGGGTATTTTTAATGACTCGGAGTTTTTAATCAGCAAGCCGAGTTCCAATTCCAGTCGGGCTCGTTTAATTCACTTCCGCGTAAATACCTTTGGAAAATGTATGAATCCTCCTCTTTTCTTCCCAGCTATGGGTTAATTAGTAACACTTCTATCGCTAAAACTATTATTATCTACAATTTTTTTTAAAGAAATGACCAATAGAGTTGATATGCCGCTAAAAAACAAAAATTACTCTCTACATTCCTCCTTAATCTTTACTTTCGTCCTTATTCTCCATATTCATCCTTACTCTCCATATTCATCCTTACTCTCCATTGTATACGATTTTTCTTTTGTCTCTCATTCTTACTTTTACCATTTTTCTTTGATATCATTCTTGCCATGCTTCTGACTTTTATTCTTTTGTTCTTCAGCGCTTTGAAAAACGCTTTAATCTTCAGCAAAATATCCGATCTTCGTTTCTGCCAAAGACATCTTATAAGTGTTTACAAATCTAGATTTTAAAAATAAAGAATTTTGGCTAAGATTTCAGGGTTGCCATTTAATGATTCTGCCTATCACTATATATATGGTTGAGCGTTAACATATTTTAAGTTTCTGAAAATTATAAATAAATAAAAAAAAAAAGTGAAGTACACCAGTGATAGGTTATGAAATCAATGTGCGGTATGTATTTTTTTTCAAATCAAAGTAAAAGGAATGAAAGCATTTCCTTATTCATCAAAGAGATGAGGAATTAACATTTCAAGATTTAATCAGACTGTTGATGTCATTTTTTGTTTTTGTTCAGGAAAAATTCGGTTATTTTGATATGAGGCAGCATCATTCTCAATATCTCTAGTAAAATTTAAAATATACTTTCTATGTGATAAATTCAGTTATTTTCATATAAGGCAGTGTCATTCTAAACATTTGTAGTAAAATTTAAAATATACTTTCTATGTGATAAATTCAGTTATTTTGATATGAGGCAGTGTCATTTTAAACATTTATAGTAAAATTTAAATATATTATCTATGTGATAAACTCAGTTATTTTGATATGAGGCAATGTCATTTTAAACATTTGTAGTAAAATTTAAATATATTTTCTATGTGATAAACTCAGTTATTTTTATATGAGGCAGTGTCATTCTAAACATTTGTAGTAAAATTTAAATATATTTTCTATGTGATAAACTCAGTTATTTTGATATGAGGCAGTATCATTCTAAACATTCGTAGTAAAATTTAAATATATTTTCTATGTGATAAATTCAGTTATATGAAAAAATGTGAAGTACATATATATATATATATATATATATATATATTTTTTAATATTTTTGTAGTAAAATTTAAAATATACTTTCTTTATGTTAAATTCAGTTATTTTTATATGAGGCAGTGTCATTCTAAACTTTTTTAGGAAAATTGAAATTATTCCTTATATTATGATAAATTCAGTTAATTTTATGTGAGGCAGTATCATTCTAAACATTTTTAGGAAAATTGAAAATATCCTTTTCTTTTTGATAAATTCCATTTGAGTTGAGGAATTAGCATTACAAAAATTATTTTGATTTTCATCATTTTATTTTACTTTTTGATTCGAGGATGTGCCATTAACGAATTCAGTTGTTGCGTGTACACATAAACCATCATAAATGTACAGGATGCGGTATTATTAAATACTAAACACTCCAAGACCATCGACGTGTAGATCAGTTATAAGAAACATAATACTATTTATAACTGATTTAGACACCGACGTTTACATACTTCTATTGATGTAAAAAGAACAACCATATCTCGTCGAGTATTGTGAGAATTTTAATAAGATTTTAAACAAAATTATATAGTATTGCACTATACACAATTTAAAAATTATACATTTCTGTTGAGCGGTGGAACTTATGAACAAGTAGGTTTTTCTTGGGTGGTTAAAATTCATACCTTTTTCGTGACGATAAATCATCAGTTAGGCCCACATTCTCATGGTACCTTTGGCTAATATGAACGGGACGGGTACGCTCCATTCGTCTGCCACCTAGGTATAAACGAAAGCAAAGTAGGGCATCTATATCTTCTCATCAGATATTTTACTGTAAATGTGATTATCTCGCCCCTTTCGGGTTACTTTCAAGAATAAATAATGTAGACCATGTATTTGCTATAGATTATGTCCAAGACTTTGGCCAGTACTGAAATATCTGACTATGATAGGCTTAATTGTATTTCTCAGAAGCAGGGTTGTACGCTCCCTAAGAAGTGGACAAACGTTGTTTAGTGCTGAAGGGGCACTTAATATACAAGAATATGTAGCTCTGAAATCAATTTGAAAAAGAGTGTAATTTACGGTAAATATATATTTTTGTGACGTTGCAACTAACCGGGCACGACACACTTTATATTCGGTGATCGAACAACATCATGTGTTTTCACCTCGAGTCAGTGTGAACTAAAAGTTAGTAAGAGAAATCTCTGAATTTAAAACTGTGAAGAAGGCAACGGGAAACCATTCCACTGTCTTTCCCAAGAAGTCATAGCAATTCACAGATAATAAAGAAAAGGAATCTGTGGAGAAGGCAACGGGAAACCACTCCACTGTCTTTCCCAAGAAGTCATGGCAATTTACAGATAATAAAGAAAAGGAATCTCTGAAGAAGGCGACGGGAAACCACTCCACTATCTTTCCCAAGAAGTCATGGCAATTCACCGGTAATAAAGAAAAGGAATCTGTGGAGAAGGCAACGGTAAACCATTCCACTGTCTTTCCCAGGAAGTTATGGCAATTCACAGATAATAAAAAAGGAACCTGTTGAGAAAGCAAAGGTAAACTACTCCACTATCTTTCCCAAGAAGTCAAGATTATTTACAGATAATATATGAAAATAAATCTGTGGAGGAAATATCCCACTATCTTTTGCAAGAATTCTGGTCAATTCACAGTAATAAAGATACGGAATTTATGCATAAGGCAACGGGAAATCATTCCAGTGTCTTTCTCAAGAATTCATGACAATTCACAGATGAGGAAAGGAATCTGTGGAGAAGGCAACTAGAAAAAAAAACACTTTTCAAAGATGTTATTAAAATTTATATATAATGAAAAAAAAACAGTAGATTGCCATGACCATTTACGTCCTGAAATGAGAAATTATTTTGGATATTCCAAAAATACCTATTGGAACCTTTTTCATGTAGGGGACACAGCTACTTCCGCGTTAAATAGGCTGAGATGTAGCTACACCCCCATGTTCTAAGGGTCCCTGCCCTTACTCTTCGCTTCTCATTCACGTCTTTCTATCCCGCCCTCTCTTCCTTCTTTATTTTGCATTTTCTTTTCTTTCATTCTTGTTCAAATCTCTTCGTTTCTGATACAAAATTTAAGACTTACGGCTGTTTGCATATTCTAAACCAAGTTTTGTGAGCGCCTTCCAGTCGCATTTTGCTTAGAGGCAACCCCCAACGCAGAGAAAAAAGATTACAAGAGACAACAATAACTCTAAGTTGTTTATACTGTGAGGCTTTTAGAAAAATTCGCTTTAGAGCTTCATATATTCTTTTTATAGACTCACATCTTCCTCTTCTACCCCAAAGGATACTTTTAGAATGTTTGTATATTTCTACTTATACAGAATCAAGCATAGACAGTGGAATTATCTATCTTTTTTTATTAATTAATTTTTGAATTACTTTTTCAAAATTTATAAGCTTTTTTTTAAACCTCTTTTTTCAATGAAAAATTTTGTAAAAGTTACACCGTGTTTTTTTCGCTACTTATTTAAAATAGTTTCTTACTTTCTCTTCATCTCGTCGTTTTTCATCTTCTTCTTCTTCTTTCATTTTGACATCCATTCGCTTAATGTCAGCTATTCTTCTTCTTCTTCTTCTTCTTCTTCTTCTTCTTCTTCTTCTAGTGTCACTGCTGTTGCTACTTCTTACGTTAATAATCTCTTTTTCACTTTTAACCTTTTATACTCACTTGTTTTTTTCTTGCTCTTTTTCGTCTTCTTTCATTTCTTCACCTTTTTCTCAAACATATGCTTATTTTTCTTCTTCTTCTTCTTCTTCTTCTTCTTCTTCTTCTTCTTGCTTTTCCTCTCCGCATTCTCTTCCGTCCTTTCTCCTTGCTAATTGCTTGTTCTCGAAATCTGATTTTCTTTTACTATTCTTTCTTTTTGTTATATTATTCGGCCACTCTTTATAACCAACATTTTAGCTCTTTTCTCACACCCTTTTCTTTCCTTTCACCCTCTCCTTTCATCTTCTTCTTCTCCATAACTTCCATCTTATTCCTTCCATCTTTCCTTCCTTCTTTCTTTCTTTCTTTAATAATTACTTGCTTTCACAAATCTCGTTCCTTTATTTCTTCTTTTTATCGGTATATTTTCTTTCTTTCCTTTTTAACCCAAACCCTTCTCCTCTTCTCTTCTTTCTTTGATTCTTAGTTTGTTTGTTTCTTTCTTTCTTTCTTTACTAGTTGCTTGCTTTCACATATCTCTTTTCTTTCTTTACTTTTTTCATCGGCATAGTTTCCTTCTTTTTTTTATCCAAATTTTCATCCTCACTCTTCTTCTTCTTCTTCTTTCTTTCTTTCTTTCTTTCTTTCTTTTACTAATTGCTTGCTTTCACAATCTCCCTCTTTTATTTCCATTTTCATCTGCCTGTTCTTTCTTTCCTTTTATCTTCCTCGCTTCTTCTTCTTCTTCTTCTTCTTCTTCTTCTTCTTCTTCTTCTTCTTCTTCTTTCCCCACGCATTGTTTATATAAACAATGAATACATTTTGGCTGAAGACTTCCGGATAATTGCCAAAGGGATAAAACTACAAATTTAAACTTCCCCAAGAGAAATATTTTACTTAATTTTTTTCTCAAAACTTTTTTTAAAAGCCAAAGGAATAAGAAGTCATTTTTAAACAGAGAAAATTAAGGAAACCCTAGCGGAATAAGATAAATTTGAACAATGAAAAATAATGGAATGGAGAGTAAGACAAATAAAAAAGATCAACTGAGAGCTAAGACAAAGGACAAAAAAAAGGACAGTATATTGAGGCTCTGCCATGAAATATAGAAACTAAAACCTTGATGAAATATGAAAAAATGAACAACGGTCAAAGATTATAAGCTTGACCAGGATTCTAAAAATTCTTATTTACATGTGAAGCCTGTATAGACTACTTTTATGCGCTGTGTTCTGCCAAGCTGTGAGCGATCATGGCATTCCACAATTTCTCCTCCTTTGTAGTTCGAAGTGATGTTGGCATTCTGTTATTGTCCAGGCTAGGACCAAGGAAGAACAACACGAACACAAGAGTAGAAATAACGAAGGTATATTACACGAAATAATAATACAAGATGTGGAAGATGTTAGTATGACTGTCAGTCTGGTTTGGAGTGAACTACTATCGGCTCGACTCGATGCGGTATCTAGCTACCCTTCCACGAGGGTTGCATGTGGCACAAGGCCGAGTTTAACGTGGGTTGCCAAAATATGCCCGTAGAACCCGTATAAACGGGATCGGGTTGGTCAACCTCCCTGAACGAGACTCTGCCCTTCGGCGGAGCCTCGTCCGGGTTCCTCTCCGCTCAGAAGGTTGAATCAAGCCGAGAAGCTCGGCTTCATTCAACCCTCTCTCTTGAGAGGCGTAGTATACATAGTGTTAGGAAGAGTTCATTCTGTAGTTATAGGTAAGGGCCCATGACACATTCTTACTACACGTCCAGTACTTCTACAAAACATTTTCTCGTTGTTTTCAATATGCATTGTTCGAGTCAAATTCTCCACGCCTCCTTTCCATATTATAGAATTTCTATTGCCTCTTTGTGATTCTATGTACAAGTTTCAATTTCTGTTTCCATAAAACCTCATCGTTGCTCATATACTCAATTCATGGTTTTCAAAGCATCCTTCTGTAGAACCTTATATGTGATTGATTTGTTTGTTTAAAGGCATATCAACAACTTATGGGTCATTTAATGCTGAAATCTAATTTTCTTGGGTGGTTTGAAGTAATAAAATATAATATATGTTATTCTGCTCTCACAATTGAATACATGGTAGATAATACTCTGCTTTTGCGCACATACATATTTGTGCGGACATTATTACTAGAGACGGGGATATATGTGTTTTATGTTGTAGTTTTGTCGAAGTTATATTTTGGAATAGAGTTTGATTTAAGAAATTGTAAGATATTATATGGATTAATGTCATGAAAGAATTATTTCATGTAGATTGTTTGGTAGTATTTTAAATGGATTTGGATAAAGTCGCTACAGTTTGCTAGTATGTGATTTATTGTGTATAGTAATTAGCATGTCTACAGACTGGAGATGGTAATCGTTTTACAATATAAGAGTGTGTCAACATAGAGTAACTGGTAATTGTTCGGATCATTATTACACATCAGTGTTGCTTCATGGGGGAGAGAAGAAAGGAGGAACAATTGAATGTCTGCTTAGGTAGAGTGGTTAAGGTTAAAAAGTAAATGAAAAGAAGACGTAAAGAAAACGTAGGCAGAAGAAGAAGAAAAGGAAAGTAGAAGAAGAACAAGAACAAGAAGGAGGGGGAGGAGAAGGAAACAAAAGGTGGAAATATAAAAAGAAGAAAAGAAGAAGAAAAGGAGGAAGAGAAAAGAAGTAGGAAAAAAGAAAAAGAAGAAACAATAAGAAGAAGAAAAAGAAGAAGGATGAGGAGAAAAAGAAGACGAAAAGGAAGCGGAAGAAGAAGAAGAAGAAGAAGAAAGCGAAGAAGAAGAAAACGAATATGGAAATAGAGGAAGAAGAAAAAGAAAAAAAAGAAGAAAATAAGAAGTAAAAAACGAAGTAAAAGAAAAAAAGGAAGGTGGGAATAGAAGAAGAAAACTATAAAGGAAAAGAAAAATAAGAAGAAGAAAAGGAAGGTGAAAATATAAGAAGAAGAAAAACAAGAGGAAAAAGAAAAAGATGCAAAAAAGAAAAACGAGCAGAAGAATCAGAAGGAGAAAAAGAAGAAGAAAAAGAGAGAAGAAGAAGAAGAAGAAGAAGAAGAAGAAGAAGAAGAAGATGAAAAAAGGAATAGAAGAAAGATAAGAAGAAAAAGAATACGAAAAAGAAGAAGAAGACCAATATTGCTAACATCGATGAACCATTGACACGTCGCTTCCAATATAGGTAGCGGTTTTCAGTAACGGGCATCTTGGCTATCGATAACCCATAATCTGAACCATCTGAAACGGAACTGATTGAAGAAGCGGGCGGTGATACGCATTTCCATAGGTTGCCATCTGCGAGAATGAAACGCTTTCACATCGCTAAACCGGATCGCATATCGGGAGCTGTAAAGACACATGCAGTAATCTGGCATTATTTCTACACCTTCACATGAGGATCGAAACATGTTTATATGTCAGAACATTGGCGTTCATAATTCTTCACATAATATTCTTTATTATCGGTGAATGGCCATGAAATCTTGCGAAAGATAGTCGAGTAGTTTCCAGTTGCCTTCTCCACAGATTCCATTTCTTTATTATCTGTGAATTGCCATGACTTCTTGGGAAAGACAGTGGAGGGGTTTCCTGTTGCCTTCTCCACAGATTCTTTTTTTATCTGTGAATTGCCATGACTTCTTGGGAAAGACAGTGGAGTGGTTTCCCGTTGCCTTCTCCAAAGATTCCTTTTCTTTTATTATCTGTGAATTGCCATGACTTCTTGGGAAAGACAGTGGAGTGGTTTACCGTTGCCTTCTCCACAGATTCCTTTTCTTTATTATCTGTGAATTGCCATGACTTCTTTGGAAAGACAGTGGAATGGTTTCCTGTTGCCTTCTCCACAGATTCCTTTTCTATATTATCTGTGAATTGCCATTACTTATTGGGAAAGACAGTGGAGTGGTTTCCCGTTGCCTTCTCCACAGATTCCTTTTCTTTATTATCTGTGAATTGCCATGACTTCTTGGGAAAGACAGTGGAGTGGTTTCCCGTTGCCTTCTCCACAGATTCCTTTTCTTTATTATCTGTGAATTGCCATTACTTATTGGGAAAGACAGTGGAGTGGTTTCCCGTTGCCTTCTCCACAGATTCCTTTTCTTTATTATCTGTGAATTGCCATGACTTCTTGGGAAAAACAGTGGAGTGGTTTCCGTTGCCTTCTCCACAGATTCCTTTTCTTTATTATCTGTTTGCTTTGGGATTATCTGTGAATTGCCACAGATTCCTTTTTTATCTGGAATTGCCATTACTTCTTGGGAAAACAGTGGTTTCGGTTTCCCACAGTTTTATTATCTGCCTTCTCCACAGATTCCTTTTCTTTATTATCTGTGAATTGCCATTACTTCTTGGGAAAAACAGTGGAGTGGTTTCCGTTGCCTTCTCCCACAGATTCCTTTTCTTTATTATCTGTGAATTGCCATGACTTCTTGGGAAAGACAGTGGAGTGGTTTCCCGTTGCCTTCTCCACAGATTCCTTTTCTTTATTATCTGTGAATTGCCATGACTTCTTGGGAAAGACAGTGGAATGGTTTCCTGCTGCCTTCTCCACAGATTCTTTTCTTTATTATCTGTGAATTGCCATGACTTCTTGGGAAAAACAGTGGAATGGTTTCCGTTGCCTTCTCCACAGATTCCTTTTCTTTATTATCTGTGAATTGCCATGACTTCTTGGGAAAAACAGTGGAATGGTTTCCGTTGCCTTATCCACATTCTTTTCTTTTTATTTATTACTTCTTGGGAAAGACAGTGCCAAGACTTCTTGGGAAAGACATTATCTGTGAATTGCCATGAACTCTTGGGAAAGACAGTGGAGTGGTTTCCGTTGCCTTCCACAGATTCCTTTTCTTTATTATCTGTGGTGCCATGACTTCTTGGGAAAAGACAGTGGAGTGGTTTCCCGTTGCCTTCTCCACAGATTCCTTTTCTTTATTATCTGTGAATATGACTTATTGGGAAAGACAGTGGACTGGTTTTTCCATTGCCTTCTCCATTTTTTTTTTTTATTATCTGGGAATGAATTTTGGGGAAAGACAGTGGAGTGGTTTCCCGTTGCCTTCTCCACAGATTCCTTTTCTTTTTTATCTGTGAATTGCCATGACTTCTTGGGAAAGACAGTGGAGTGGTTTCCGTTGCCTTCTCCACAGATTCCTTTTCTTTATTATCTGTGAATTGCCATGACTTCTTGGGAAAGACAGTGGAATGGTTTCCTGTTGCCTTCTCCACAGATTCCTTTTCTTTATTATCTGTGGTTGCCATGACTTCTTGGGGAAAGACAGTGGAGTGGTTTCCCGTTGCCTTCTCCACAGATTCCTTTTCTTTATTATCTGTGGTTGCCATGACTTCTTGGGAAAAACAGTGGAGTGGTTTCCCCGTTCCCTTCTCCACAGATTCCTTTTCTTTATTATCTGTGAATTGCCATTACTTATTGGGAAAGACAGTGGAGTGGTTTCCGTTGCCTTCTCCACAGATTCCTTTTCTTTATTATCTGTGAATTGCCATGACTTCTTAGGGAAAGACAGTGGAGTGGTTTCCGTTGCCTTCTCCACAGATTCCTTTTCTATATTACCTGTGAATTGCCATGAATTCTTGGGAAAAATAGTGGAGTGGTTTCCCGTTGCCTTATCCACAGATTCCTTTTCTTTATTATCTGTGAATTGCCATGACTTATTGGGAAAGACAGTGGAGTGGTTTCCGTTGCCTTCTCCACAGATTCCTTTTCTTTTTATCTGTGAATTGCCATGACTTCTTGGGAAAGACAGTGGAGTGGTTTCCGTTGCCTTCTCCACAGATTCCTTTTCTTTATTATCTGTGTATTGTCATGACTTCTTGGGAAAAACAGTGGAGTGGTTTCCGTTGCCTTCTCCATTATCTGTGAATTCCTTTTTTTATTATCTGTCAATTTCCATGAATTCTTGGGAAAAACAGTGGAGTGGTTTCCCGTTGCTTTCTCCACAGATTCCTTTTTCTTTATTATCTGTCAATTGCCATGACTTCTTGGGAAAGACAGTGGAGTGGTTTCCGTTGCCTTCTCCACAGATTCCTTTTTTTTTATTATCTGTGAATTGCCATGACTTCTTGGGAAAAACAGTGGAGTGGTTTCCCGTTGCCTTCTCCACAGATTCCTTTTCTTTATTATCTGTGAATTGCCATTACTTATTATTGAAAGACAGTGGAGTGGTTTCCCGTTGCCTTCTCCGCAGATTCCTTTTCTTTTATATCTGAATTGCTATGACTTCTTGGGAAAGACAGTGGAGTGGTTTCCCGTTGCCTTCTCCACAGATTCCTTTTCTTTATTATCTGTGAATTGTCATGACTTCTTGTGAAAAACAGTGGAGTGGTTTCCGTTGCCTTCTCCACAGATTCTTTTCTTTATTATCTGTCAATTGCCATGAATTATTGGGAAAAAACAGTGGAGTGGTTTCCCGTTGCCTTTCTCCACAGATTCCTTTTCTTTTTATTATCTGTCAATTGCCATGACTTCTTGGGAAAGACAGTGGAGTGGTTTCCCGTTGCCTTTCCACAGATTCCTTTTTTTTTATTATCTTTGAATCGACATGACTGGAGTGGTTTCCCGTTGCCTTATCCACAGAATTATCTGTGAATTGCCATGACTTCTTGAATAGGGAAAGACAGTGGAATTGTGGTTTCCAGTGGAATGGTTTCTTCTCCACAGATTCCTTTTCTTTATTATCTGTCAATTGCCATGACTTCTTGGGAAAGACAGTGGATTGTTTCCGTTGCCTTTATCCATAGATTCCTTTTCTTTATTATCTGTGAATTGCCATGACTTCTTGGGAAAGACAGTGGAGTGGTTTCCGTTGCCTTCTCCACAGATTCCTTTTCTTTTTTATCTGTGAATTGCCATGACTTCTTGGGGAAAGACAGTGGAGTGGTTTCCGTTGCCTTCTCCACAGGTTCCTTTTTCTTTATTATCTGTGGTGTCATGACTTCTTGGGAAAGACAGTGGAATGGTTTCCTGTTGCCTTCTCCACAGATTCCTTTTCTTTATTATCTGTGAATTGTCATGAATTCTTGGGAAAGACAGTGGAGTGGTTTCCCGTTGCCTTCTCCACAGATTCCTTTTTTTTTATTATCTGTGAATTGTCATGACTTCTTGGGAAAGACAGTGGAATGGTTTCCGTTGCCTTCTTTCATATTCCTTTTGCTTTATTAAAAAATCTGAATTGTCCATGACTTCTTGGGAAAGACAGTGGGAAAGACAGTTTCCCGTTGCCTTCTCCACAGATTCCTTTTCTTTATTATCTGTGAATTGCCATGACTTCTTTTCTATAATGGAGTGGTTTCCCGTTTCCTTTCCACAGCCTTTTCTTTTATTATCTGTGAATTGATGACTTCTTGGGAAAGACAGTGAACTGGTTTCCCGTTGCCTTCTCCACAGATTCCTTTTCTTTTTTATCTGTGAATTGCCATGACTTCTTGGGAAAAGACAGTGGAATGGTTTCCTGTTGCCTTCTCCACAGATTCCTTTTTTTATTATCTTTTTATCTTCTTGGGAAAGACAGTGGAATGGTTTCCCGCCATTCCTTTTCTTTATTATCTGAATTGCCATGACTTTTGGAAAGACAGTGGAGTGGTTTCCGTTGCCTTATCCGCAGATTCCTTTTCTTTATTATCTGTGAATTGTCATGACTTCTTGGGAAAGGCAGTGAGTGGTTTCCGTTGCCTTCTCCACAGATTCCTTTTCTTTATTTTCTGTGGTTGCCATGACTTCTTGGGAAAGACAGTGGAGTGGTTTCCGTTGCCTTCTCCACAGATTCCTTTTCTTTTATCTGTGAATTGCCATGAATTCTTGGGAAAGACAGTGGAGTGGTTTCCGTTGCCTTCTCCACAGATTCCTTTTCTTTATTATCTGTGGATTGTCAAAGAATTGTTTCCGTTGACATGACCTTTTTTATTATCTTGGGAAAAGACAGTGGAGTGGGCTTCCCGTTGCCTATATTACTCCCATGAGATTCCTTTTCTTTATTATCTGTCAATTGCCATGAATTTTTGGGAAAGACAGTGGAGTGGTTTCCGTTGCCTTATCCACAGATTCCTTTTCTTTATTATCTGTGAATTGCCATGATTTTTTGGGAAAGACAGTTATTGGGAAAGGTTTTCCGTTGCCTTCCTATCCACAGATTCCTTTTCTTTTTTATCTGTGAATTGCCATGACTTTTTGGGAAAGACAGTGAGTGGTTTTCC